GTAGAAATAGCAATAACACAAGCCAGTTTTTAATTTTTTCCCTACAGACAAGATTTTCCTATGTCACAAACCACCTGCCTCAGTCTCCCAGCTGGGATTATAAGCATGAGCCACCAATACAGATGGGCCTCAGATGAAGCTTTTTAGGTTGGGCCCAGAACTGGACCCAGGCTTCCCCACGTGGCTTAAGCATCCTGAGTAGCAGTATCTAGAAAGCACTACTATGCTAGGTATAATTTTCAACATGTTACAAACTAAATACCTAGTAACTTTATGTTGTAATATTTTTAGTCAGAAATTAAATAATATAAAAAAAACGCAGTGTATCTATGCTGGGAAAATTCATTTTGGGCTTCCCCACGTGGCTTCAGCATCCTGAGTAGCAGTATCTAGCAAGCACTACTATGCTAGGCATAATTTTCAACATGTTACAAACTAAATACCTAGTAACTTTATGTTGTAATATTTTTAGTCAGAAATTAAATAATATAAAAAAACACAGTGTATCTATGCTGGGAAAATTCATTTGGCAAGCTGTAATGATTCAATGTATTGGGTTGTCTGCAAAGTCATGATATATTTTTTCTTTCTTTTTTTTCTCCCAAAGGTAGTTACTTTCTTTTAATGCACATGAAGTATTTTTCTATGCAAAAATGCATCATACTTTTGTGATGACCTAATATAAAAAAATTAAAGAAAAAGTGATATGATAAAATTTTTCTATTCAGTTTAACATTTTAGTATATATTTTTCCAGTTTTTGCTTTATTATACATATTTTTCATTTAAAAATATGTAATTTAGCTTCCTTTTGGGCAGAACTGCTATTTTTCAGTAATCCTCCAATATAACAAAAAGGGAAAAAGGAGAGGCACCCAATATATGTTCTCTAGGCCTTTTAGAAAACATAAAGTAGTTCCTTTGGCAATATATTTGCATACTGAGCATGTTAGACATTCTAAGAGTAGAGATAACTTCCTAAAACATGTGAGTGAAAATGATCAATAATAGAAGGAAGCCAAAGAGAAAGGTACCTGGGTTCAACTGAAGTGCCAGCCTGCTCCACCCAGAGAAGCACACTTTGTAAGAACCAATGGAAAGGACAGACCAGCAGTTAGCGTAATGACTATGTCGCTGGACTCCCATGTATTCGACCGCAGTTTGAGTCCCGGACACAGTGACTTAAACTCACGCCGGGCGCGTGTGTGTGTACGCCCATGATCCCGAGAGGAGAATGGAGGAGAAGGGAATGTGGCGTGGCACCATCCCCCCTGGGGGGTGATTTCTCGCTTTCTGTCTCTCTGTCTCTCTCTGTCTGGCGGGTGTACGTCCCCTATAGCAAAAACCTCTCCAAAAAAAAAAAGAGCCAATGGAAAGGAGCCTGAGCTGCTGGAACCTATTACCTATGCATTTATGCATTCATGGCATAATAGGTGTTAAAAATAAACAAACTCTGGTGTGTACGTGTGTGTGTATATGTATATATAATTTTAAAATTATAATATTAATAACAATTCTGTTTTTATATCACGTGACAATACACCATTTACTTTTTCCACTTTTTAAAATGTTTTTCTAGGAGCCAGCAGTTGTCATAGTCATTAAGGAGCTAGACTCCCACAGGGCTGACCATGGTTCAAGTTCTAGTACTGGCAGCTTGCTTTCTTATTTTCTCTCTCTCTCACGAGCACATGTGCCCTATAGCAAATTAAAATGATAATAAATAAAAGAAAATAATTAATTAAAAAATTAAAAATAAAGTGTTTTTCTAAATTAGTGGTTACTGATGTATGGTCTGCAGACCCCTGAAGCATCCTTGGTATCCTTTACTGGGATCTAGGAGGTCATATCTGTTTCACTATAATACCAAAATGTTATTTGCTTTTTTTACTGTGTTGACATTTGTACTGACAGGGCAAGAGCAATAGTGGATAAAACTGCTATAGGCTTAGACAGAATCAAGACAGTTTTTAAGTTTTAATGTATATCAAAGAACAGATTCCTCCATTATCTGAAAAGACTATGAAAATATTCCTCCCTTTACAATACATATATTTGTGGGGCTAGATTTTCTTTTTAATCTTCAACTGAAACATATCATAACAGATTGAAGAGTGACACAGATGAGAGAATCCAGACATCCTTTATTAAGCCAGTCAAGTAAAATGAAAGAGATTTGCAACAATGTGAAATACAACCTTGCTAAAAATTTTTCGATAATACACCTATTTTCAAAACAGTGTCTTATTTATGTTAATATATAATGTGTTTATTGTTACATTTAAATGTACAAATACAAGGCTATATTAAATTTTTCTATTTTGTTTTTTAGGAGCTTTTTTTTAAAGTTTCTTTTTTTCATGAGACAGAGAAAGAGAGAAACAGGAGAGAGAAAGAGAGACAGTATCCCCAACAGGGTCTTGATGCCACAATCCACCTCTAATTTCAGCCAGTGCAGAAACGTGGGCACAAGAGTGCCTGGGATATTTAGGGAGGTCTCAGGACACAGATCCAGAACCTTTCCATGTGGGTGAGCCCTGTGGAGCATTGTATTTTACTGCTGCACTAGTGTCTACCTCCCATTTTAATTTTTTTAAAAGAATTATTTTAACATTATTTATTTATTTATTTTAATTTGACCAGAGAGGGATAGAGTGAAAGAGGGACAGTGAGAAAGCAAGTTGCCAGGTCTGGGACTCGAACCATGGTCAGCCATGTGGGAATCCAGTGCCCTTAGCCACCATGCCACCTGCTGGCCCCTACCATTTTAATTTCTAATACATTAAATACTGATAGATATAAATCATATGAATGAAAGCTCCTTAGAATCTCCCAGTAGATTTTAAAAGAACAAAAAGTCCTCAGATCATAAATTTGAGGAAATGCTGTTTTATAACAGCACTTTTATTGAAAGCATAGTGGACTCTTTATGAATATGTCTTAATTTATTCAACCACAGAATATGCATTTCCTGAAAATTAGGACCACTAAATAAATCCTACAGGCCACTGTAAAAGGTTTATAGCAGTGGTTAGTGACCTGATTTTGGAATAGGAGCTGCAGATCTTGGTCATCATACCCTTCACCTAGGAGTAGGGCAGATTGAAGAAAAGGACCTATGGCTAGAGTTTCCTCAACTCCACACAACTATGGTTACTCTCCTGAAATCTTCTCCCTCCCATTTGTCAGGTTTCTCTAGAAAACACAGATTTCCACAGATACATGTTTAAAGAAGTTAAAATACAAATTTATTTCAGTAAGGTAAATAATATTTTCTTTTAGCTCACATTAAGTTTAACATACATTTGTCTTCATTTTTGATAGATATTCAAACAAGTTAAGTCCTGAGAACCTTATTTTTGTTACCCTACTCCCTTCCTGTCTAAATCCCTGGCTCAAGGCGCTTAATTCATTGTATCTTGCTTCATTTTTGTTTTTAAATTTTACCAGAGAATATGTGCACTTACCTTAAAGAGACAGAGAGACACACACACAGAAAAAGTGAGAAAGCACCTCTAATGGGGAATGGTCACATTGCAATCCCATCTCCTCCACCTCTATCTCCTTTTAGGGCTTTAGACATGTATGCGTAAATATGTGCCTGATGTGTTTCTCAAGACACAGGTCTGGGATTCAAACCACACGGTCAACCACGTGGAAGCCAGCCATCCCAGCTACTAGGCCACAGCAGGCCCAGAAGAATTACTGAAATCACCCCCTTTCTCTTTTCTTTTCCTTCCTTCCTTCCTTCCTTCCTTCCTTCCTTAACAAGGTTAAGAATGTATTTATAGTATGAAGATCTCATGGCCCAGTTTATGTTTTATAAATCCAGATTTTTCTTAAACCAGATTATATATACTGATTAATTGATTTTTTGATTCATCTAGAATTTAACAAAAAGTCTTTCCAGAATTCTAAAGCACACAAGTTCCATAAAATGTCATTCTTTTATGCATTGATATTACTTTTTAACAAATTAAATATATATAGAGTTAGCCTCATTAAATTTAAATGATCTAGGGGGCCCACCTAAGTAACTTTAAGCCAGACCATATTCCTAAAATGTATTCTGAAGTACTTAGGAATTTTCATTGTTATAGAGGCATTGAGCACCCATTTTAAATAGTCCAGGGCATCGACACCAGAATGCTAAAAAGAATAGAACTAAATGACAATATGGTCACATTCTAAAACTGTGAATACTAGTGTTATAGATCCTGTATATTAGTACAAAATGATTATCAGAGTCTTCATTAATAATTTTCAAATGAAAAAGTGGAATCTGTCCTCCAGAAATCTATACTAGCTCTGTCTACAGTAAATCAAACCACACCGTCCTAGTACAATGTACCTTTCTAGTTTATGAATCAATCACAAACAGACGGGGTTCTCGGCAAACAGGTCTCAAAAAAACACAGAAGTGGAATGTATTCATCTATTATTGTGTTGCTAAATAGAAATATTTGATACTGGGTGATTTAGAAAGAGTAGAGTTTTGAGTCACAATTCTGTGGCTGAAAATTCCAAAGTTGTAGACCTGCTGTCTGGCCAGCCGGTGGTTCTGTGTCACAACATGGTTGATAGAAGCAAGAAGGAAGGTAGGAGGGGGAGAGAGAAGTCAAAATCTCACCTTTTCTGTTTCCCTCCTGTGCCCGCAAGTGACAAGATGGCGCCTCCCTTTAGGTCTCACCTCTTTAAGGTCTCACTACCACTCAAAGCTGTTATACTCAAAGCTTCCAGAACATGAAACTTTGGAAGACAAGCCATTATCCAAACTAAAGTAGTGAGTATGTAACAATCCACATGAGTCCTCTTCCCTTGGCCCTCCTTTGGGCCAAGGATGATAGTACCTGGGTTACAGGCTTGTGTTCTCAAGGGTAAGCCCTACTATGGCTGGCCAACACTGGGTTAACACTCTTCCCACAACTATAACAGCCTTCATCCATAGCCTTACTTTTAAATGTATAGTCTTTTCCTTTTCCAGAATAGGAAAGTGCTTACCTAGGCCATGTACAAATCCTGATCAATTTCCAGGCATAATGTTTTTGCCCTCTTTCACTCCTACAATAGAAAGAACAATGAGGAAAAAATAAAATTGTTCTCCATCCTATCCCCTAACTTTTAGATGATAAAAAGAGGAATAGCCTCAGATTGAGTAATGTAAATGCATCTAATCCAGGTCTTCTAGGGGTGGCTGAAAGTGATGTTCTCAGCAAATAGTATCCTTTTTAAGAGACAGATTTTTTTCTGTAGGGCATGTGCACTTGCTGCAGAGATAGAAAGAGAGAATACAATCTCCCCCCCACTCGCCCCCACGGTGTTTGGCCATGCCACAGTCCCTTCTCCATTTTATTTTCTGGATCTTGGGCATGCATGCACATGTGCCTGCAGGGAGTTTCAAACCGTCAGGTCTGGGACTCAAACCACAGTCCACCATGTAGGAGTTCAGAGACTTAGTCACTAGGCCATCTGCTGGTCTAACAAATAATAGCATTCTTAGAGGACCATAGTAGAAATGAGTGCTCCTAAGGTACAGATGCCTACGTGGCCTTCTCAGTTTACTACTTCTCAACTGGCAATACTCTTGCCTTCTAGGAGACATTTGGCAATTTCTAGAGACATTGTTGGTTGTCACAGCTGAGGTAGGGGGTCAGGGTGGGATGCCACTGGCAACTAGTGGGTAGAATTTAGGAACACTGCTAAACATCCTACAATGCTCAGGACAGCCTGCACAAAAATGTGCAGCATTGTCCAGTTCAAAGTGTCAGTAGGCTGAGAAATCCTGCCCTCATATAATTCAAAACACATGCTTCTGGGTCCATGGATTCTCTTACTCAATAGCTCATTCAATTATTTGCACTCTTGTACAGTTTTCATTATCAGAGAGACTTGTGCCTGGCTCCATCACTTACCAGTTGTGTGACTTAGAGCGGAACTTAAACTCTCCACACTTTATCTATGAATGGAGAAAATGACTCCTTGCATAATTATCATGGAAATTACATTATATAATACATCTAAAATGTTTAGTGAGTGAATGTTAGCTGCTGCCATCATCATCAAACACTTAATAGCTACTAAGTGCCTGATACTGTGTTTGGACCTGAAAATAAAGGAAGGAATAAAGAATTGGAACCTGTTGGGACCAGCAGTTAGTGTAATGGCTATGTCACTGAACTCCCATGTAGTTGACCACAGTTCGAGACCCAGACCTGGCGGCTTAAATTTATGCCGGGTGCGTGTGCACATATGCCCAAGATCCTGAAAGGAGAATGGAGGAGAGGGGATTGTGGCATGGCCATCCCCCCTGGGAGGTATTTTCTCACTTTCTATTTTTCTGTTTCTCTCTGTCTTTCTGGCGAGCACATGTGCCCTATAACAAAAAAACTCTCAAAAAAAAAAAAAAAAAAAAAGAATTGGAACCTTTCACCAAGGAGCTCAGAGACATACCCAGCTAAGCAAAAATACACTAGAAAACCTCTTCTGCCACTCAGTAAGTCACATTTTTTCCTTTGCCTCCAGGATGAAAGAAAGCAATACTTGCCCTAATTGTGGGTCTCATTCTCTGCTTCTCTGCTGCTTCTCCCTTCCATCTGACCCCAGAATACTTTGGTACCTGAGACAGTTTGTGGCAGACCTGCTCCCACAAGAAAGAAAAAGCAGCATGCATGCAAGTGGAATGACCATACGTGGACCTCAGAAAGGTGGCAAGGTTGAAAATGTCACCATGTTCAAAATTCAGGATTAAAGTTTCAGCCGCTGAAGAGCATATGGTGAGCACATACTATCAGGTTACCTGATCCCCATGGCATTTTTGGCATTTGTCAGCTAGAAAGTCTTAATTTAGCACAACTATGCATCTTTCAAGAAAGGAAATGCCCCCCATGAAAAAATTCTTCATGATTTATTTGCCTTATTGTATCAAGTGACTTTTACTTATCCTTTTTCTATCTCTGGATACAGCGCTGTTCCTTGCTCTGTGTAGGAAAGTTATAATTTGCACATACACATTATAATTTGTAACTGTAAGAATGACTGCAGTGTCACATTCACTAGAATAATGGCCTGTAGCATAAATAAATAGGTACTGTAAGAAAGGTAGATGCCTTAGGAGAATATCCTTTAAGCTCTGCAGTTCAGAAATGAGGTTCTGTCTTACACTGTTCTATGCGTTCAGCAACAGGAAAAAATTACTTGAAAGGTAAAAGCTTCATTTAGATGCTGTATATTTTTCGTTGATTTGGATTAAACCCAAATGATTATTTTTAAGTTAATGTAGAAACACTGTGGAAAAATGAATCAGGTTTTAATTGCTATAATGCTGCATCATTTACTTAAACTAGAAATGATTGGTGAATCTGGTTTGGAGGTACGTCCTAAACAAGCCAATTAGTACACAGATTAACCTCTGTAATCACTCTCTAGCCAATTGCTTTCTATAATTTTTTCATAAAATTTGTTTGCACTCATGTTTCTTAATGAAGCAGGTAACTAGCCTTGCTTTTAAGGAATTTGGTTCTCTTGCATAGAAAAGTTTACAGTATTTGCTTTGCAGAAATTTATTGCTGATTTACTTGCATGTAATACAAAAATCCCATATTTTGCTAAGAGGGTTTAAATCATAATAAGATATAAGATAATTAGTTTTTGGACTGTTTAGAAAGCAGAGTTTCATTTTTAAAAGGAAAACAAAACAAAACAAAAAAAACAACTCCATGGTTTCTCAACTGTATAAACTCTTCTTCTAGAAAAATATGCACTCCAAACCAGAATGATAAAGCAGGCACAGAAGTGTCTAGATGACAGCTCTCTGCCATTAACATACAGCATCACATTCCATAACATTTGCTCTATTATTCTGGCCACTCACAAACTTATATATTTGGGAAGGAGTATTTTTAAGATCCAATTGTTAAAAAGCGTCAAGCTGTCCACCCTTTTGTGAAGGCAGTCCGAGTAGTATTCTTGTTTATATCTGAGCTGATGCTCTATTTGTCCTCCGAGTCTGAGTATCTGATACATGTGGAGAGCTGTGAGTGGACTCTCTTTGGACCAATTAACATGAGAGACCAAGGAGGCTCCTAAGAGAGGAGTGAAAGGAAAAGGAGTAACAAGGAACAATTTGCTAATAGGACAAGGAACAATGATGCCAGAAAAAAAGAAATAATGCTGAAAACAGCACATGTTAGAATACTGAGAGACCACTCTAATGGGCACGCAGGAATCCTAGGCACAGAAATGACAATAAGTATAGAGTTAGAAACAACAACAACAAAAATAATAGTTTATTTGAAATCTCAGTGGGGCACTAGCAATACAAGACATTAGCAGCGCTTGTCCCACAGCATTTGAACAAGTATGTGAGATGACACTCACTCATGGGCTACACTAAGGGCTCTAGATGTAAGGCTTGTCGTCTTGGGTGGCTGTCAGTAAAAGCTATAACTCCCAGTTAGCAATGGCATAAGGACCACATTTTGGGGTGCAGCAACTAGAAACCTTCCCCAGGATGGATGGGAAATAAGCTTACAGGCGATTAGCAGTAATCAAGAAGATTCATTCACAGGAAGCATGTGAAACACTCTCTGGAGACTCCAGAGCTATTTAGGAGGAATTCAAGAGAGCTAGCTGGAGCCAAAGAAATGCTGCTTTGCAAATGTTACTGTGATTTGTTTTTATCCCCAGGATGAAGTGGCTTGGGAAATACAGGAAATGTACAGAGGTAATAATGATGACTGTGATAATAGCTATTTTATTTTCTATGTAGTGCTGGGTATTGTTTCTGTGATGTGGGACAACTATATCAAAATATTGCACTGGAAATTAATAAACTTTCAAGTTAAATTTTAAAAGACCCCATGATATGAGACACTATATCCAACGTATTGAACCAGGTAGAAGAAACTGCTGAAAATCAGTGTTTCTTCTCTCTTCTCTTGACGACAAACCATAGACAGAACATTCCTAGCTTATTGCTGATTGGAACTAAGGAGTGGAAGAAACACTACTGTGTTTGGCTTGAGTCTTAGGGGGTACATAAGGCAACTCCAGTACCTGACCAGAGTCTGACCTAAGGCCAAGCTGCTGGGAGGCAGAGTCCCCACTCATACCTTCTAGCAGAAGATGTCCTAAGGGTGCTCAGCTTCTGTGCTCCAATCGGACAATAGCTCTGGCTCTCAGTGAACTTTATTTCCTGGTCTCATGACCCAGTCTCCCTGGACCCATGACAGCCACCGGTCCTCTGAGCACTAGCTAATCTTTCACAGCTAGGCCTACAGCTTTTCTCCATCTGACCATGCAGCCTTCTCAATCTGTCCCTTCTTTGCCAAGTTTGCACTCAGGTTACAGACTGATACTCTTTGAAGCAGTATTAACAAATTAAAATCATAATGATAATTAATCTAATCTTTATAGAAACTCTGTTTTCAAAATAAAACAAAATATTTATTTTTCTTGTTTTTAATCAGGTGTTTTTTGAAACTTTAGAGAAAGTGAGTGGCTAAATGTTGAATGGCATGGTCGGGTCTGAAGTGAGTCCACAATGACTCGACACAGCGCACATGCTTTAGACTGTAGATTTGGCTTGCACATATATAAACCATACTGTAGACTTTTCAAATAGAGAAAACTTTTGTGAGTTTTGGTATAGTAAGAATTACTATAATGAATTAATGTTGAATTTGAATAAATATTTTATCAGAATATAATAATGTGATTTTTCTTTATAAAATTGATATGGCAAATTATATTAAATCAGTCTAGTTTAAACCTATTTGAGATTTTTTTCTATAGAGCATGGGTGCTCGCTGGAGAGACGGAGAGAGAGAGTGACAGAAAGTGAAAAATCACCCATCAGGGGGATGGACATGCTGCAATCCCTACTCCTCCATTCTCCTCTCAGGATTTTAGGAATGCATACACACGTGCCCAGCATGAACTTCCAAGTCACCAGGTCCAGGATTCAAACTATGGTCACCTACATGGGTGTCCAGAGACATAACCATTAGGCCATCTACTGGTCCCAGTTAATGCATTGTAAAAATCGCAAGCTTATGAAAACC